TATACGGACTGAGCCCCTATACGGACTGAGCCCCTACTGACTGAGCCCCTATACGGACTGAGCCCCTACGGACTGAGCCCCTACGGACTGAGCCCCTACTGACTGAGCCCCTATACGGACTGAGCCCCTACGGACTGAGCCCCTATACGGACTGAGCCCCTACGGAGTGAGCCCCTACGGACTGAGCCCCTACGGACTGCGCCACTGCCGGACATGACCGTAGAGATGATCAGAGGTGCAGAGTTTTTACCACCATCATTAGGACAAGGACCAAAGTACAGGAAGAGTTCCTCAGTGAAAGAGCAGCCAGTGAAGGAGTAGATCAAAGCTGGAGCTTCTACATCATAAAAGGAGACCAGACCCTCTGAATAACTCACAAACACCCCCACCTTCTGAGGCCGAGACTTCAGAGAGAGACTGACTGGGGGTACAATAAGAGCGCTGTACTCATTTCCATTTCTCAAACTTATAGTCCAGTAACCCTCCTCAGGGCTCAGTGGGATGTTCTCTTTCCTGTTGATCGACTCTCTGGCCACTCCTAAAGTCCATCTGGTCTTTTCTTTAACTTGAACCTCAACGTAAAATCTGCCTGAAGAGAAACTTTGCTTTCCTACAACATATATAGAATGAGAAAATCTCTCTGGGTTGTCTGGGAGATTCTTCTTTACATCACCATGACTCACTTGTTTTCCATCATCAGACAGGATGAGTTTAGGATGTGCTGTATCAGGATCAAGAGTCACATCCACTGCGTACCTCTGGAACGCCTTCAGATCAGCTTCAATCCGCTCCTTCATCGCTTTACTGAGTGTCTCCTCCAGCTGAACAACAGCTCTCACCACAGTCCCTTCATATGATGATGGAGGGATGCTGAACTCTGCCCAGTCCTTGGTGGGTGGAGCAACTTTCAGGGATGGAACGTTTTGAAGAAAATGCAGGTGGTCTTCAGAGTGTATGACCTGCTTCACCTCAGAGCTTCTCTTCTTCAGCTCAGAGATTTCCTGTTCCAGCTCTTTGATGAAATCCTCAGCCTGTTTCTGTATTGTCTTCTGCTTTTCTTCAATTGTGTTAATGAGGCTGGCCATGTTTCTGTTAAAATACTGCATAAGAGTTGTAAAGACTTGAACACCTAACTCTATCTCCTCCTCAGCATGTTTCTCGCTGTAGTTAACATTTCGTTGGACCTTCCGAATCCTTTGTTGTTTCTCTTCGATCATCTGCCAAATTTCAGCCTCTGTCTTCCCCAGCGCTGCCTTCTCCCCTTCATATCCTTCTTTCAGAGGAACCACATCATGCATCTTGTGGTCTGAAACATGGCAGAGCATACAGACACATGTCTGGTCGGTCTTACAGAACAGCTCCAGAGGTTTATCGTGCTTCGGACACATCCTGTCTTCCAGGTTCTCCACAGGGCCGATCAGCTGATGTCTTTTCAGACCTGACATTTTCAGATGAGGCTCCAGGTGAGTCTCACAGTAGGAGGTCAGACACACCAGGCAGGACTTCAGGGCCTTCAGTTTGGTTTCAGTGCAGACGTCACAGGGAACTTCTCCTGGTTTGAAGACTTGTTGCTCTGATGCTGCGGCTGCTGCTGCTGGCTTTCTGTTTAGCTGACTGTCTGAACTGAGCGACCATCCCAGAGATGAAAGTGTTGATTCGCATTTCAGGTTTTTTGTCAAACATCTTGTTACACATGGGACACTTGCACTTGGCACTTATATACCAGTGTTTGGTGATGCAGTTCTTGCAGAAGTTGTGTCCACATGGTGTGGTGACTGGATCAATTAACAAATCCAGACAGATGGGACACAGAAACTGATCTTCAGATTGTAGGCAACTGGCGGTAGCCATATCTAAACACAGGGAACACAAGTGAGAGGTGTGGCAAGAAATCCATCAAAGTTTTGAGTTTCTTCACATGTTTTGGACAAATCATCTTTTGTCTGAAACAATTCTTATTCTAGATTGGTTGTAATCAGTACATGACAATGCAGGACAATTAAATTAAAGCCACTGGTAGAAACAGCCAGCCATTTGCTTAAAGGAGTTTACTCAAATTGAATATTTAAGTCAAGACAGGGTCCTTTAGTTTAGGATTCAAGTTCAAGCAGGCAAACCTGTATGTCAGGTTATTAGTCAACCAAATTAAATGTAAGAGGTTGCATAATAACCCCGCCTTCTCTAAAGTGTCAGGATCACCATATAATACAGGTAGCCTAATCCAAAGCAGCCCTTTTTGAAACTTTAAACAAGACACTGGTTATGATAGGTCAAATGGGCCCCAATTGGACCTATGTGTAATCTGGTGTAAACCAAAATGAAGCAGTAATGACTTTAAATAATAAACACCCAATATATAATGTTTTATATTGGTACCCATTTGTGAGGTTTTACCAAACTTTATATTTAATAAAGTTAATCCTGCATATTGTATGTCGAGTTGATTTCAAACAAAGGCATGAAAACTAATTTAGGTCATTTTTTTTAAGTATACTAAACAGTTACACGACAAACGAACATGTATACAAACTCAGCTGTGTGACTTTTCTCATCTCTGCAAATGTTTAATCAAACAAACAAAAAATTGACAAGAATGTGTCTGATATATTGTTAGAGAAAGCTCATTTTGAAACACTATTTTCACACAAGTTTACAATGGATCTAACAATGTTCATATTGACGATCTGTGGTGGTTTAATATTTGCTATGAATGCGTATGAAAAACAGAGAAAAATCCTGTCTAAGTAAAGCTGAAGATTTTTTGTAAATGCTGGTTGTTGAAAGGTTAAAATATGATCAGTTGTACTCACCAGTGTTTGCAAGAGCCTTTTGGTTGTGAAAGCAGATGCTACGATCTCAGATTAATGTTTCTTTCTTTCTTATGGCTCTGCTTTTGCTCTCAAATACTTTCAGTTTCTTTTACTGGAAAGGACGTTGCAACAGGTATAAGTACATTCCAGTCAGGTCAGCTGGAACAGGTGGATTGGTTTTACCCCACTGGATCAATCAGATAAATGTAAGGCAAGTGTTTTACAACAATGAAAGTCATTAAGAGCATAAAACACATTAGAATAATAATTCTTAATAATCACTACGTGTTAAAATAAAAGCATACACTTCTGCTCTACTCAGGGCAGGACTTTTATTTTAAATTTCAGTCATTTTACTTCATGTACAGTTTGAAAGGGTGTTAAATGAAATTTGGTGATGATTAATGGTTTTTGTGTTAATGTAATAGCAGTTAAAACAGGACCGGTCAAATTTGAACACTGAAGTAAGGGGGG